GAACGCTGGAATGTTGGAACGTTGCACACAAACGTATACCAAGCAGGTAAATACTAGGTAGGTAGCCATAAATAGTAGCCAACAGCCTCGAGGTGTTAAACAGCGACGTCATCATGGCTGTGTACTAGTTAGTCGGTTGTTGGGCTGAGGACATTGCACCGTAAAATATAAGACGGAGCGATCTCGGGAGTGACCTGGAAGTCTCCGTGAAGGGTTTGCTTTATACACTGTGGCCCGGACCTTTCCCTACAATACTAGGTACAGACCGACAGAAGGTCAATAACTGAGTAGCATCGCAATATAATTATCAGAAAGAAGGATCTAGACCTCGACACCGCCAATGGAACCCCAACAAGTAGCAGGTGTTTGCCAGTTCCACTAGTTCTAAGCCACCGTACCTCCTCAGCACAGCCATGTTCACACGCCACAGCGGGTATCCTTATGTGGTCTGTGCGCATCGACTTGCAGAATAGATCACGTGCATTTTCACGTGATTCTAGCATGTACCCAGATCGGGCTAGACTGACAATCTGCCGACAATCCGTCTCTCCGGACATTGAATCCCAATTTGCTGCTGTTGCCCATCGTGAGCTTCGCCAGTCACGCATTTCTCCAATTGACAACGCCTGTCACCATGAACGCTCTCCGCGTCGCCCGCGCCGCTCTGCGAGCCCGTCCCGCTGCTACGCGGCTCCCCATCCAGCCTCTGCAGCGACGGAGCTATGCCGATGCCGCCGACAAGGCTCGTTCCACCCCATAACCGAAGAGGTGCATTGCTAATATTGCGTAGATCAAGCTGAGCTTGTCTCTCCCTCACCAGGTACGACAGCCTCCAGCAGTGCGCCAGGGCTCAATCCACCATGGCCCCCGCGGCCCGTTCCAATCCGCCTACGTCAGACGACCTCGCTACCGACCGACTGTGCTAATTCCCGCAACAGTCCATCTTCACGTCGCATGACGTTGTTCAGGTCAACATTCCGGCCGAGTCTGGTGACATGGGCGTCCTCGCGAATCACGTCCCTTCGATCGAGCAACTGAGGCCTGGTATCATTGAGGTCATCGAGGACAACGGCTCCAGCAAGCAGTTTTTCCGTACGTACATGCAAACACAGCGAAGGTAGCATTGGCCGGTTCACTAAAGTCCAGGACCAGTCTCTGGTGGCTTCGCTACCGTCCAGCCAAACTCTGTTTTGAGTATCAACGCCGTCGAGGGCTACCCCTTGGAGGATTTCAGCGCCGAGGCTGTCCGATCCCAGATCGCCGAGGCACAGAAGGTCGCCAACGGTAGTGGCAGTGAGCAAGATGTCGCGGAAGCTAAGATTGAGTTGGAGGTAAGACACCTGTTGGATGCCCGCATTATCCCCTGTCTTATTAACGGTATTAGGTCCTGGAGAGCTTGCAAGCCGTATTGAAATAGACTGTATAGAGGATAGTGATCGCGCAACCTTGTACATCAGAATAATTCCCTGCAACTCCCAAGAGCGAGGCACAACGGTTTTGGGAATGTTGACGTCTATACTTGCCGCTGCCTTTTGTCGTGAATGCGCTTACTTGCCATGCATGTTGCGGTTACCTTGTCTCGAAACTTCTAAATAGTCGCTACCCAGATTATATTTCAACTGAACCGTTTAAATCACGCATCCTTCAGTCTTGCGCCGCCTGTTAACAGGTAGCCCAGTAACCGACCTGGGTTCTTGAGACTACATGTATATCATAGTACAAAATTCCCAAAGGCGATGATGTGCTGCACACGGGCCACCGGAAACACCCGGAAAGATCGTTCATCATGTCTTCATGCTCACGAGGATGTGCCCCAATTGTCGTGAACAGGCGCAGCAAGAGCGACTATCCCGGTCTTGATAATCTGATTCCTATTGAGACCGTGACATCGCGGCCGCGCCAATTCTGCGCATTTCCCGGCGATATTGACTCATTCTTCAAAGGCCCCGACTCAACCGAACGGGAGCGTGTGACCGCATCCGCCAGTTACAGACGCCCGCCACATTCCCTATTCACGGATCCTTGGACCGATTATCTCGATGTACCGGACTTCTGGACGCTTCCCGCTTCCCAAATATTTGTCTTTCACAATTGTGGACGGGATACACACGAAAATGCTCATGACCCCGGAATTCGACCACCAGTCCTATTACGGCCTTCCTCATGTCGGAAGAGCTTTTCTATGGGTCACTTATGTAGCAAATTCGGGCACATGGAAATCTACTCGTCCAGTGGACAACATTGTTTCAATGCTATCGAAGAGACTCAGTTCAACCCTATTCATACGCACTTACCAACACCTAATCATAGCAAGATACGACCCTTCACAAACCCGTTACTTCTTAAAGAGTCACAGAACTTGCCGTTGGTTTCATCCCGCTTGCGTCATACGCCATATATCGAGCGATGGAGGTCAGCCCGTGATATATTCGCACAGTACAACATTAGCAGGCCCTCTAGTTGGCTTTCGGATATTGAGGACTTGTCTCTATCAGGGGATGGAAATGCCAGCCCCCGAAGATATTGCCGATACTGTCATATCTGCTCGATTCCTACTTTGGCCCCAACCTATTGCCCGTCCTGTGGGCATCGCCTTTGTGAGAGGTGCAAGTGTGAGGTGTCCAGTGGCACTCCGCAGGCTCATGCCAACTTTTCACATCATCCAAGCCCTGCCATTGCAAGAGATGGGCCCCAACATGTACCTATTTCTAGGACAAATCCGGAATTTGTACAGCGACTTCCCCAGCGTGTAGGAATGGCTTGCTCCACTCCTGAAAACCGAGACCAGGACTACATAGACACGCAACTTCATCGACTAGTCAATCTCCGTACTAATACTAGCCGGCAAAAGAATGAGGGGCGTGGAAGAGAAACGACATTTTCTGAGATGTCCAATTCAATCAGTAGCTATTATTCGCAGACGAGCGAACGACAACCTGGACAGATCCAGGCCCAATCGATGCAACATATTAAGAGAAGTCCAGTTTCTGCCAAAGGTAGTAAAGGTGAGGAACAAGAGACTGGCTACGATTTGCATCCTGGTGATAGAATGGAGTGTGACGATCCCATGTGCAGAGCCACCCATGCTGGCCACTATCCCTTTCGACATAGTGTTTCCTGTCCCAAACGCAGAAGTGAGCAGAGGCAGGCTTTAGAACCGGGTGATGTTTCAAATAGGCCTGCCCAAGCTATAGTTGAGAAGTTCGACTCTGATAAGAGCCTCGCTCCAGACGATGTCCCTCATCGCCATCACTCCGCCGGCTTCCATAGCTATCATCACATCACGGAGCACCTTTCCTCGGCACTCGGTCACAACGTTTATGATCTTCTTGTAGGCCGCAATAGAGAAAGGATCGGGTCCATTTCGCCCAAGGCAAGTATCAAGCGGAGCCCGTATCTTGAACCTCTCACAAAACCCAAGCCAGTTACACAGATTGAGGCGTTTCAGTGGTCTCAAGATACTGTCCTCCCAGGCCATCCAGGCCGCTCAGGTGATAGGAGACAACAACCTTTCCCAGTAACAAATGTTACAAGAATAATTTCAAATCGTCCGCCTCAGGAAACTACAGATAATGGGACTACACACAAGGCGAAGAATACGACATTGGGGGAAGCTGCTATTCGTCACAAGGAAAGGGAAACGCCAGATGGCTTGAACTTAACTCAGCGGGACAAGGAATCCCGTAAGCCACGAGTAGTCGGCACACCTCCATGGTTAAGAAATCCGAGTAAGGAAGCAGCCAACGCTACCGCTCCACTACACCACATTAACGCCAGGAGTAACGAAGCGGGTGCGAACAATCACGAACATGCCTCAAATATCGCCCTTAACGATTGGAGAGGACACTCTACTGCTCGCCCGGCAAGGCCCGAAGAAAGCCATTTATCACCGATAAGAGCGCACCACTCATCTTTTGTAGTAGCGGGGGTGCCCAGAACATATCATATAACACCTAGGATAGAAATTGGCCAAGCCTTTTCTGAGCACAGAGAGCGGTATAGCCCAATTTCAGTGTCAAAGAGACGTGAGATTTTCGAATCTATGCAAGATCGTAAAGATCCGGTCTCCTCGGTACAGCAAACGAGCCATATCAGTAAGACGCTTCCCCAATACGAGGGGGAAGATTCTACAGCTCGGAGTGGACTGTCGCAGTCGCTTATAGAAACATAGGAGGCTAATGATACGCACCTGCGCTCGAACACTCAGCTTAGCCAAGAAGACAATACCGCCCCTGGGACCCTAGATGCACATCTTCGTCGGACAGGAACTGGTAAATCCTTCATATTCACAACCCACGAGTCCGACCAAGAACTTGGGCCAGGGTATTTCGCCCAGCAGTCGTCCGAGCCTGAAATTGCTAAGCCGACCCCCATTGCTCCTCCGAATCATGAATGTAACTGGAAGGAAAGATATCTAGCCTTAACGGCTGAGATCCTTCAGCTCAAGGCCGAGATGTCGATCCGTGATTCGCTCAAGAGCTCGGGTATTCTCACTCCCAGAAACGAACAGCGTGGGGACAGCCTCGACATACTAGCTGTCACTACTATCTTGCATTGTAGAGACAGAGCCGACATCGTGATCAACACCGACGTGATACGAGATGCAAGCCCTGGTAGCTACTAGACAAAGGGGGGAAAGTCAAGGGAGGGGCGCTCGGAAGTCTACACTTATAGAATTGGGATAATTACTTTCTTGAGTGTCAGATATTGATTGATAAGTAGCAACTACTCTTCATTGATAAATTATATATGCTTTCAAACCCAAACAAGTCTTGCTTGCGTTCATGACATGCACGGTTTATACATTTATATGAGGGCTACCTCTCTGAAAGAGCCCCGAATTAGCACTATGCTATTTCTAGACAAGGTTTATTATTATATGTCAAGCGTCTGGAACCAAACCCTGAGATTATATTTATGAGTAATACACCAAAAATTAGAAAAAAAAGATTTGCTATTACTCCACCCCACACATCTAGTGGGATGCAGTATAAAAGTTACTCCGAATCGGGGAATCGAACCCCGGGCTTGACGGCACCGTCACTCTCCCTAACATCTCATAAGAGAAGCACCAAGGAAGATGATGAGAGCGTCAAATGTTGGCCACTACACCAATTCGGAGGAAATCATGATTCCAGCGAGTTGACTGCCCACTACTGGAGTCGAACCAGTTGCCTCCTCATGAACTAGTGAGAGAGGGAGTGAGTGAGTGAGGGCGCTTTGCTCCCTCCTCATTACTAGTGAGGCGCTCTACCGCTGAGCTAAGCGGGCAACGTCTTTGGATGTTAGCCGATGATAGTATTGGCATCTAATTTGTCGAGTGTTTGGTGCACAGTACCATTCAATTTAATACTGTGTTTTTTCCGCTCTTTTTTGGCCTTTCTCTTCCGCTTGCCTATTTGTTGATAGATCACTTATATAGTATCTGCACCTTGCTCTTTGCAATATAGTGAGTAGCTGGAATTTCAGTTTAGTCCATGGACAGTGGTGATCCAAACCGCAATGGGGACTGGTTGGGAAATGAAGTGAACGGATCACTTCTCAGTGCCCTAATCAACTGAATATAACTCATACAGAGCCATTATTCCGACTATCAGTCTATTGTTGATGTTCTGGGCGTGAACTTAGACTAGATGGTGAGTGCCTCCGGTCGAGACAGCGAAACCTCCCTCCCTCGAGCCAATACAAACTCTCGCGTACAACTCAACAAGAGGGGCTCTCCGGCGACAGTTATTTATAGGAAAGCAGCAAAAATAAAGGCAGGGCGAGAGGGGTTAAAATTATCCGACACGATTGGCATGCTCGTATCACAGTAACCCGGATGGTTGATGAGAAACAAGGGAACAGAAAAATAGTGTTTGGTCGCAGTTCATCACAACTGTTTTGCACATGCCCTTTAGCATGAAGTGAATGTGGAAATACAATAAATACAGCAGTCTAGATAGGTTAAAGTGATGCCCTGCTCTAAAAATTACTGTCAAGTCTCGCCACTCCTTGATCGTGGGTCAACAGAATAGACATTGTTAGTGACCTCTATTAATATCTATCGATGAGAACCCTTCGTAATAACCCAGAAAGTAAATCTATTTCCATTTATCCCTGTCTATCCGTGCGCCATTCAAACAAGTAGCCTTTAGCCCAGACCTAATACCAACATGTCTATTTTGTCCTCTCCTTTCAGTAATTTCATAACGCTTCGCACCCTTTTCGGAGCTGTCCATACCAATTTCTAATGGGGGGCTCAAGCAAACAAAACAAAAACGAATAGGTTGCTGGTTTCTGTAGTATTGCCTCCAGGGGTAGAAGTTGATAATGTTACCAATGACCACCATTTCGCCGGCTATCAACTCTTCTATAGAATCCTAGTTCAAAGGGCCGACTGGCACTGCAACCCTTAAAGTTAGTTATCACCATTCGAAGCGGGGTTTGTGAGGGGGTCTAGACACTCTCGTCCCGGAATAGAAACCTCATACTTTTAAATTCACTGAAAAAAAATGAGAACACAATGATCACGTTTCAAGAACTACTCACCAAATGTAGACTTGTATCTGCCGATGACTGTGACTTGCTGAGGGACGCTTTCCTCCTCCTGGTATGGGACTCCCTCTTCCTGGGCACGCTCCTTCTCGAGCGCCGCGATGCTCTTCACCTTGGCGAAGTTGCCGTAGATCCCCGTCGGCTCCTCGCTCCACATCTTGTAAAAGGACAATCCATCTGTAGAAGACTCGTTGTCAGCCATGACCATTCGGGGCCTAAAACCCAGGAGCGCCAGCGGGTCTAGGATATGGCGACAGGTGTAAGAGGATAGTTGTGTCAGTTTCATTGGTCTATGCTTGAAAATTTACCGAGTATACTTATATGCTGGTAGACCCCAGGACGAGGGAAAGGAAGCAAAGGGAAGCAAAGGGAGGCGGGGGGTCGGATTGCTTACGCTCTTTATACGTCTTTGCGCTGATAGGCGTTGGTGGTGGCGGTTTATTCATTACGGCAGCAAATGTTGCTGTGTCCAAGATATGGATGTGGAATAGTATAGCTGCGTCTGTCTTCCACGTGTATTGGGGGTTATTGTCTCGCATGATATTCTGGACCACTAGATGCATTTTTAGAAGGTTTATCATGCAAGTATTCTCGCCATTGGGAAGAAAGGGCGTTGATATCAAAGCTGGAGGGGCTCTTACTCAATCCACCAGCCGCCACGCTCATCTGCCCTATTTGATCTGTGGAGGGTAAATGTTAATCTTACGATCCGCGACTCAGGGTAATGGAGATAGAAAAGGAAGTGTACTTACTCGCGATGCTACTGTAAGAAGGTGGTACTTCCGCTGCGTCGTGGTGGCTTAGATTACTACCACCCAGAGGCACTCGTGGGGGATGGGCTGCACTGTTCACACGCTGGAGTTAGTAATTACCGGGAAGAGTAAGATCCTATTTCATGCTTTGGGAGCATGCAGGAGCAATGAGGCCCGAAACCTGCCAAAAGAGGAAAATAATGACTCCAGGGGACTAACTGCCGGGCATCGCGGCTCAACCGCAGAACAAAACCAGGCCGAAAATAGTATTCGCCGATCTTCGCGTCGTCTCTTATGGGCAGGTAGTGGTTCCATTCAACGTATGGGGACAACACCTGCTCGTTAACAGGTACACCGAACTCAAGAGACAGTGCTACCTTCATGTTGTTCCAGGTGGACGATTCTCCCAACCCCATTTGGGCAAGGTTGAGCCCCCTTCTGCATTGTCTGCCTTGGCCGTCCACGAAGAGCACATCCAGCTTGTCCGGTAGCGGGCCGCATTTGATAGGGATGATTTCAACCTGAATGCCTCCTTCGGTGTCACCGCCAGTTATTTGTTGCTCGACGCTAAAACCGGAGCCCCTGGGTTGCGCGACGAACTGGCGGACCTTGCCGTCCTCGCACACGATACCGTCAAGCCATGGTTGGCTTGGAACGACCATGTAGTCTTGAACAGGCTCCCCCTCTTTGCGCACCGCTGCCTTTTTTCGTGGTTGCTTTGCTCGCTGGTCCATCGGAAACCCAGAGACGGCATTGATACCGCCAACGAACACTCTAATAGCAAAGGGCAAAATTGCATGGAACCTGATCCACATCGCTTCCCGCTGATACATGGTAAGGAAGAGACCAGATTTCTTGGCTACTTCCATTGGAACCTGTTTGACGTAATCCTAATCCGTGTTAGTGGCCTAGAGTTGAAGGGACAATAGTATAGATGATGAACCTGGCGTCGATAATGGCAGGGGAAATAGCAGAGTAAACTACGAAAGTCTAACCTGGACTTTATAGATCTGAAATTCACCCATGTTCGGAGGCAACGAGTTGATACTCTTATGGTTATCGGGAATGCGGATGGTGCGGTGGAAGGTGAGGGTCAAAGCATCCTTGACACCACCATAGGTGAATTGCATGGATTTTTCTGCTATGTCAGCGTATATAAGGGGGGATTTAGAAGGATCCTGAACTCGGATCTGGACAGCATTGTCCTGGCTATTGTCGCTGGTATTCATATTTGGCGATGGAACGGGATTGGTTGTGGATGGGGAAAAAGATAATGGCAAGAATATGATAGAATAAGATAGGTGTATCCGAGAAAGTTCTGCCTTTGGGTTTGCTAAGGGGTCTTTGGCTAAGAGAGAAAGACTAGAGGAAACTTGGAATTTAAATACTAGTTATTTTGGTATCAGCAGTATGAAAATACCGAGAAAGCTTTCCCTTCTCTTTGTCATAGAACATCTATCCAAGACAGAATATCCGTGGGAGCCTAGTTGGAAGCGACAAGTGAGGAAGTTATTCTTTGATGCTATAGACATGCATATAACTGCTTTTGCGGAGTATAGTCTATGCACATGGTAAAATTATTGACTCAACTCGCCCCAAGTTGTTTTGGCAGCTAGCAGATTTAAACCTCTTGCACTCAGGTTACTGTCTTCTACTTTTAGTGATTCCAGCAACCTCATCGTCACTAACTACAGATTTAGATATATACTTACTTGCTTCTTGTTTCCTCGCCCAGTCAGAGTTCCCTTCATTGCTAGGAGAAAAATAACCTCGGAAAAAATCTCGCTGGAAGAATGTAATTGGTTTTATCCCTTACGCCGCGGTTGGGATACGTCATAAACGCAGCTGCCTCATAAATTTTAGTCAAGACATTTCATGTTTCTACAGTACTCCCCAGGCTGCCGATTCTCTTGCTATAACCTTCATCTACTATGAATCTCGCTAGGCGTAAGCTGTCTTACACTAGTGCATGTCTATATGCCCATACTGTCAGAGTTAAAGATGACCCAGCCAATAGCCTTCCTATTTGATCTTGTGTGATTATACAATACATCATTTGTGCACTAAGACGCCTCGGTAGATGAAAATTGAGCGTAGTAGGAAGCGAGACAAACATCAGATGTTCTATAGTTTACTCGCCTGCCTGATAGATACGTCCACACTATGCTCAGTGCGGCTAACTTCGCGGGTGTCTACTCATCAGGAGATGCTTGTGAAAGGCACTGCACAGCGGCTTCTCTGTCATAGCATGAGGTAACTGCTTGACTTATAATCGCTCGTATGCTCTTTCTCACCTGCAACTACGGACTTGACCGCTGAATAGTTACAGTATATCCGAGAGAGCACCACGTAGTTTTGAAGAAAATGGCCCTTAGATTTGCTAAAAGATAGCCTAGATAACATAGTTACCGGTGACTACCGATAGTGAGAGTACAGAATTATCCATCTGGTGACTTTTTTGTGAGCCGATGTTTTCTCTCAATTGGAGTTGGATTATGTGGTGTCTGTGGCTGCTTTACGCGCTCTCATCACATGCTAGGTTAGATAAAAGCCAAGCTGGCTAAATTCTACGAGCAGTTCCTTGAAAATAAATCAGGCGTTGTGACGTACCATCCGGGCCAGAGCTTTATGCCTTCTCGGTGATAGTAGTCATGTATACTACCCTAACCCTCTGTACCAGGGCCTCTCGAGGAGCTGATGTCTTGTGATGACGACCCTCGTCGTCGTCCTGCATACAGAAAAGAGCAGCGGATTAGTGTTAGCCACTTCGACCGTGTGAAGCGATGATCAATGGGCAATAACCGAGTCATATCTGTATCGCACAAAAGTGATCGTCTAGTACCTTGTTGTTGATCTTTGACAGCAGAATCAGCCAAGACGGGTATTGGAAACATGGCTGACTTAAGCGATGCCAAGACAAGCGTCCATGGGCAACAAGCTTTGCCAAGTAGTTCGAGCAACATCAGGGTTGCCGGTGGACGG